ATATATATATATATATATATATTCATTATTTTATTATTTTATATATATATAATACATGACCTTTAAAAAATAAACAAACAATTGTTACTATTTTACATTAGTAATTAATTAATTAATTAGACTATTAAGTAATTACATATATTTAGTATATGGATTAAAATGTCTGTTTATGACGAATTATGATGCCAGGTCTGTGGTAAAGCAAAAAGAAAAAACTGTTAACAAAAGATAAGTAAACCTGTTGCCTTAAAGGGCCATGAAACCCTCCTCTTTCAGTTCAAGTCTATTTTTCAAAAAATGCTTCATGATGGGCGTGGAGTGCTGTGAGCAGAGGGAGGAGTGGGCGTGGCCAGCAGAGCAGGGGAAAAAGAGGGGAGCGAACAACTGCAGTCAGTTGTCTCACAAAATGAGACACAAACCGGAGGAGATGCATGATTTTATAGTTTACAAAGTAAAACTGGAAAGAAATAAACAGTGAGTAATTTAATGCCCTGCTACATATGTTAGTCATAATTTCATATACACATAAGCACAATTTGTTATTTCGTTAAAAAGATAATCATGTTTATATAAACACTATAAATGAGGAGGACTTATCTCCTCTAGAATCCCCATGTCTGAATGCAGGCACAGTGGATAGCAGTGCAGCAGGTCTCCTGCCATGTCTATTTCTACCATTAACCCTGCCAGTAATGCAGAGGATTTTAGACATAGGCAAACACAGCAGCACTGATATAGGCGACATGTCTGAATGGTAACGAACTCAACTGATAAAAGAAAAAGTCAGCCATTTTTCAATTCACTTACAGCTCTCTCGACAAAAGTGCTTGCTGCAAACCAACAGCTTTGCTGTATCAGCCCTGACGCCATCACGGGAAAAAGCATGCAACAAACCCTGTGGATGATGGAAACAAGCACAAATGACCCCTCATGAATGGCTAAATACTGCGTGCCGTGCGAAGGGGGTAAAGAACAAATGAATGAACAAATTCTATTGCACAAATAGAATAATGGGATTTTAGTAAGAATAACTATTGTTATTGACAGTATAAATGAACAAAGATAAACACAATCCTACTAAATAAATAAAAAAACGTAAAAACAAGGGGACATTGTGTACTGTCTGCTAAAAGTAGGTCTTTTGGTTTATGTGTGAGTGTAATAAGACTATGTGATATGATGTGTGTGTGTGTCGGCGTGACATGATGGAGTGTTGTTCATCTGACGGGACAGTTTTGGACAGCGTGAAGGCCTTGGTGTCGTCTGGCAGCAGACATTTTTCATCAAATCTCTCCTTGAACCCGTCCGGCTCCCATCGCCACCTCAAACAGCCACTAAATCACACTCTTCCTTCAGCGCAGGTGTGGCCGTGACCCTCCTCCTCTACTGTTCCTGTCATCTCTCTTCACTGTCATCTTCCACCACACCTCACACACACACACACACACACATTGGTTTTCTATCTTAGTGAGGACATTGCATAGACCCTATTGTTTTTATACAAGGTTAATGACGGTCATGATATTTCACATTCATTCTCTCATTCCTTCATTTTTTTTTTCTGGAGCTAACAGAAATGGTGTAAACATACATATTAAAAAGTGGTAATATATAATTAAGATCCTTTTTCCATGTCAGTAATGCAGTAAAGTTTCAACGGCTTATTTTTCCACTTGCTCTTAGAGAAATGTTTAGCAAAACAAAGCTAATGGTTTATTCCTTCTCACATGTTCTATGTTGGCAGATGCACTGAAGCCCCACTTGAAAACTCCCAACAAAGAAAAGCATCAGATTTTCATGATATGTCCCCTTTAAGACAAGACCGCCTCATTTTCCATGCTTTACAATCAAACATAACAGCTGTCTTATCTCTTAAAGGAATTACATTCTGAAGACGTAGTTGAAAAGTTCACGCAAACTGACTTTCTGTTACTTTTCCCCTTTCAAGTGAAGCTCTCTTACACAACGCAACACAAATATTTTATTGCCAAAGCTTTTTTTTTTCATTTCAAGCATGTGAAGTTTTCAAGGACGCTTGTTTTCACTCCCCTCTCCGAGCTGAGATGAAGTTTTCCTCCTGTCAAGAGAAGTTCAGAGAGACGTGCTCCTGTAATATTCAGAATTCAGGGTCGTCAGGCTCGCTATTCATTTCACACAGCGAGGCAGAATCAATGCGGAGCGGCGCGAGCTCAAGGCCACATTCCAATTCAGCTCTTAATGTGGATCCGGAGGCAACACAAGTGCTTTTCAGATGACATTTATCTTTCTGCCAGTACTTTTTTTTTTGTATGGGGACATGGAGGCCTTCATTTGTCGGGTGCGGAACGTGTAGGCTGACATATGAATGAGGGGAAATGAAAAGAGAGTGGCAGCGAGTGGAATAATAGAGCTTTAACCAGTTGAAAAAAAAATAAAGAAATAAATGAAAAATCTTTTAATTCTGTTTATTCAAGCAAGGTTAATGCTAAATATTTGCACAAATTTGTTAGCGTCATAAAATCTTAGGTGGAAGAAGGGTTATTTGGTTATTTGATACAGATGTTGCCGCCTTTGTTGAATATACATTAATTAAAAAAAAACAATATATGTATTTTTTTATGTATTATTATTATTATTATTATTATTATTATTATTATTGATGAAATAAGCAATATATGTGTTGTTTGTTTATTTATTATGATTAAAAATAAAAAATATATGTGTTGTATTTTTATTTATTTAGTTATTATTATTATTATTATTATTATTATTATTATTATTATTATTATTATTATTATTATTATTATTATTATTATTATTGATACAAATTAACAATATGTGTGTTGTTTTTTATTTATTTATATATATATATATA